CAGTGATAATATTAATCGAAGAATTCATTTTTTCATTAAAATAGGAAACCATTATAATTTATGTTTCTAAAACATGCAGTATTATGAGTTTCCAGAAATCTGGTATGAATCGTAAAAATTGAAATAAAAAAAACATTATTAAGTATAGGTTTTTAAAATACCCGGTATTAATTATAGATGTCTAAAAATTAGCTATCAATTATCTTCTTCTATGTAACATATCCCTTCAGGATGTGATTGGCCCTAGCTCTCAACGACTTCCTAACCAGCATTCACTGCCATATATGATTGATATTACATCACAGTCCAGTACTCTTTTCTTTGTTTTTAACAAAATATTCCGGTTTCTTAATACTTTGTTTAGTTTTTGGAAGGCATCTTTTGCTATTCCAATGCGCCTTCGGATTTCGGTGTCACATATTCTGTCATCTGTTATATCCGAAATATTTAGATTTCTGTACTTTTCTTGATTTTGTCATCTACCATTCTTAGCTCACATCTTGGATTGTTCCTCTTGCTGACAAATTACAATTTATGCTTAGTCCTTTCTTCCCACTTTCCTTTATTCTATTGTCTAAAAGTTTCCGCAGTTTTCTTTCTGTGTCTGTAACATGGTGTCATCTCTGCATTTTATGTGTCTTTCACCAACAATAAATACTGATAGGACATGTAGTTTTCTTAGAGTTGCCTCGCTGTTAAATATTTACTATAGTTTTTTTCACTCTTTACTAAGTCCAAGAGCCACTCAGAGTAGAGGGTTACGTAGTAAGTGGCATAGTGTTATGGGATCTTACCCATAATAATAATAATAATAATAATGGACTATTCCATATATAATAAATACTGCGCCTCAAGAGTAGGCAAGGAGTCAATAGTTCAAGTTGAGTCAGAGGCAGTCCGAAACAGAGTTGCGTTCAGACAATTACTGCAAGACATTGGAATAGTGATACTGGTCGAGACTATATTGTTCTCTCTACTAAACCTGGTTGTTCATACTAACACTTCTACTTCTCTGTATATATTCATGTTTGTAATATATCTGTGTTATTTCCATATCCGTATTCGAGTTCTTCTTTATTGGTTCTACCTTGGACTATCACCGTGGTACAAGGAACCGGACCATAACACATAGTTCATGCGGAAATGTGTGGAAGATAACAGTTTACCGTAGACTTGAACAGGTTAATATTGTAGTGATCGAGGAAGCATCCGCTTGGTATTCTCTTACACAGTGCAGCGATTCGTGGGAAGAAGCTGCTCGAGGGGAACTTACATCCCACCAATGGAATACAAAGGGAATGAGAGTGGTTCGCTACAAAGGGCGTGGCATGTTGGATCAAAGCTGCTGAGGTTAGAACTGGTGAAACAAAGGAAGGTAGCTGGTCAAAAAACTTTCTATGAAAATAACAATAAAGCAGTGAGTCTTGACGAGAATTTAAATCATCTTTTTCTTTTTGTCAAACAAGATCCCCAGCGACAGAAAATCTACTCTGAATCCTAAAATAAAAAATGCAATAAAACTAAAACTTTATTTAATTAGAAAAAGCTTTAATTACTTTTATAAATAATATATATTATGGACACTATTGTCATATGAATTTTTTTTTTTGATGAATAATTCATTTTTGCAAGAATTATTTCCATTTTTTTTAAAATTTTAATTGTAATAATTTATAAAGTTTTAAATCTTTTAAAATTCCGTATTAATTTGTGGCGGTTAGGTGATATTGTTATTAAGTAAAAACTATATTTACTAAATATAAATAGAAAATCTTACTACAATTCAGTATTTTAAAAAGAATTTCGAATATTTGTGTGTGTGTGTGTGTGTAAACGTGCCGATTTTTATCAATACTAATGTTTATATCCGACATTATTATACAATAAAAGCTGTAAGTACAGTAAATGTAAAAAAATATTGGTAATTTTGTAACATGTCCTTAACAACCGTCTTTGCAAACAAAGTATCTAAAATTCAATAAAATATTAGATTACCTAGAATATTTTTCAAAATTTCCAAGATTACTTGGGAGTTAAGAAATCATATAAAAAAGGGGACCGCGTTATATTATTCAAGAATTTTTACACTTATGTACCTTTTAATTAAAAATGTGAAACATTAAGCTATCGATAAACCTTCTCAAAATCTCAAAAAACATCCACTTCCGTGTTAAAAATGTTTTTTCTGTGATATTTTAAACTAAAACTAACCAATATTTGCTTTAATTTAGTTTAATTAAACTTTAAATCATTTAATTTTCCAAAAAAAGTTTCAGAAAAGTATATTGTATTTTTGAAAGAATTTTTACTAAACAGAATTATATCGTGTTGACAGATTTATCAATATGGTCGATTTTAACCATTTAAAAATAATTCCCATCAATTTAAACTCGGTTTAAAACACAGCAAAGCATTTTGCTTAATGGAAGTATTAAATTTAATTTATTAGCTTGGAATTAAAACTAAAATAGAAGCTTCAAGAAAGATTTTTCATTTTTAAAATATATTTATATTTTAAACCTTGGGTATCGCTTTTGTAGAGGTAACTAATTTTTTATTATCATCCATTGTATTATCATGCCTACATTGTACATACATGCATTATACATTTTACTAAAATGATGTTCACTCTGTACAAGACCCAAGAACCACTCAAAGTAGAAGGTTAGAGGCACAGTTTATGGAGATATGTGGGAAAGATAACGGTTGATCATACACTTGAACAGGCTTAAGATTGTAATGATCAAGGAAGCATCCTCTTGGAAGTCGATTCCTCAGAGCAGTGATTCGTAAGAAGAAGCGGCTCGGCTGGAATTTATATCTCATCAATGGAATACGGGAAAAATAATGGTGGTTCACTATAATGTTAGCCGTGGAGGTTACAACTGATGGAACTAAAGAACGTAGTTTGCCTGAAAACTTTCCATGGAAATAGCGATAGACCAGTGACAGGCTTGCGATGTTTTGTCTGTGATAAAGTGGTTGTAGGGTGGAAAATAATTCCTCACCCGCAAGGACACGGAGACGCCTTTCTACTTTATCGAGACTGGAAAATGAAGACTGGCCAGCATCTGTCCATACATGGCAGCAGTACTCCATTTTCGGCCTAATCTGGCTATGGCTCAAGTAGAGGATAGGAGTAGTCAGGTACTTACTAGACCGGTAGTGGGAACTAGCCCTTTTCCCAGCATCTTTAGGGAGGTGCCATATGTACGCAATTAACTGGAGGTCTGAGTTGATTTTATGTTTCTAAAAACAGTATTAATTACAGGTTTTTAAAAAAATAATAATAATGTTGTTATAATATATTATGAATATTTATTTTAAAAAAAACTCGTATTAATTATTCATATAATACTAAAACTCTAATCTTGTATGTATGTGTGTGTGTTGCCAAGTTACAGCTTAAACGATATGCAATACCCCAACCAATTCGAATGAATATTGTATCTTGAACCTGTGCCGAGTGCAGTGCCAGATTTTATTAAAATTAGACAAGGGGTTCTTTAGCTAGGACCGTTTTTTTCTCTGTTTTTATGGCATTTTTAATAGAAAATCTAGCATTTGTTTTCGATACAAACTCTTATATCAATCTGGGTATATAAACTAGCATATTATATTGCAACTATTATATCTGTGAAAAATAATAAATATTCATAATATATTATAACAACATTATTAAATAAATTTGTATATGCATAACACAACATGTATTTATACAATTCACTACACTACATTAAAACGTTTTTATAAACAACTGCTTGAAAGGTGAAGAGGCTATATATTTAACAGTTTTATCGTAAATAACTAGATACACGTTGATTTGCTGCCGTTACTTATTTTGTAATAAATGTGAGGAAGAAACAATTATGTATTAAAAATATACTTATTATTTTGAAAAAGTCTTCACTATAATTTTCACGCAATGTGTTAACTATGAAGCCTAGTGGAACGATAAACCGTCTTTTAATGTCTTTAATATTAATTATTAATTTTGTATTCAAAGTACATTATATACAAGGTATTTCTCTTTTAATATAAAGAAGTAGAATATATGTATATTGATATCGTAAAATAATTTATTTTCATACTTTAAATCAGGATCTATTTGCATTAAGGAATTTTTAGTGCATCTCAATCGTTTTCAGACCGGAAAGAAATTACTTATTATTAACTGTTATGGGGTCCACCCCTTTTTCATACAAGTGGACTCGACCAGTGTGTAATTGTACTGCTTCCGGCGAATACCCGAGAGAGAGATACACTGATAGAGAGTGAGTAACAGAGATACATTGATACAGTGAGAGAGTGAGGTAACCGCTTTGTAGGAGTCACAGTTGCGAGCACGTAGACTCAGAAGGAAGTCCTACTTCGATAGTGAATTTCCCAGACTGTATATATATTATTATTGCTACTAACCACATTTCTGGATCTACTAACCGTATTACCAATTGTATTATTACGTCGATACATTTATTTGCTATATTTCATTCCTGCGTTTGTCATTCATTTGAGACCGGATTTCATCCCGGAATCTACAACATTAACTAATAGTTAATAATAAAATATATTTATTTTGAAAAAGACTGCCTCTGTTTTAAGCTATTACTCCAAATTTCTACGCAATGTGTTAACTATGGAGTCCAGTGAAATAATAAGCCTTCTTTTAACGTCGTTAAATACAAATTAAAATGTTTAATTAATAATCAAATTGTTACGTTTATCATTTTGTATCATGAACTGCTTTTAAAGGAAACCCACCAGATTTATGGGTAGTCTACTAACTTTATAAAAATATGCTATTAATTATAGGTTTCTACACATTAACGTCTACCGTCCCATTATTAGGACGACCAGAATTAATAGGCTAATATTTAGTTCCCGGTTATAATACGCAGTCCTAAATTTGAAGCTTAAGAATCTGTGGAAAGCTTCGTATTATACATGAGTAATTACGGTATATGCTTCATGTTTTGATATTTTTTGTTTACTTCGAACAGACAACTGAAGATCATTGCTACTCTTCAACGTTTCTACGACCGATGTGGTGCTATGAACAAATGCCTACCTCACCTAGCATCCAGAAATGACGACATTGCTAAGGAAGTGTTGGGGTTCCTTTGCATAATGCTTTTCAACGCCAACCAAACTGTGCAGGTAAGTCGATTCACCTGAGATAAAATATTATTCCATGAATTATTCGTAGGATCATCCTTTTCTTTGTTGTTTTGATTTTTTTCATCCAATCAGGACTTCGCTCAAATTCTGAAATTAAGTACTGTAATTATTCTATGTTATTCGCACATATTTCATGTTTTGATTTCGGCCGATATATTCTCCAACATTACCCGAAAGTCTAAGATTACTTATTGCCATTATTCCATGAATTATTTAATCGAATTTTTTTCTTGTTTTCATTCCTATATTTCTACCGAGGTATTCTCTAGTCTTCCTCGACATTACTTAAAATTGTGAGATTGCGTATTTTCATTATTCCGGAAATGTTCTGATTGGTATGTTCATATTTACACTATTTACACCGTTCGGACTGTGGTCCTATTTTTATTGTCATATTCACGACGTTTCAGCTATCTTACACTCCATCCTTCTTCAGGTGTTATACGTTGGAATTTCGAACCGAATCTTTTATTTAGTCCACGGGGGTAGATTGTTCCAATTCCACGTACCATTCCCCGGTGGATAAAAGCGTGGGTTGAGTCACCCAAAAGTGACTTGACCCAAAGATTTATGAGTTCAATACCTGGGCACAGCAGAGGATACAAAAAAACTTGGAGAGTTGAGTTATCAGGTGAACTAACTGAAACTATATATAAAGACATGGCACGTGGAATTAGAATAATCTACCGTAAGGGTTCGGCTCGAAATTACAAAAAAAATACCACCTGAAGAAGGCCTGAGCGTACAACGGCCGAAACGTCGTGAATATGACAATAAAGATGAGGACAACAGTACAAACATGTAAATAGTGTAAATAGTTACAATACCTCATCTGAGAAATAGAGACAGATGTTGAAGGTGAATATGGTAATAAAGATGAGGAAAACAGTACAAACAATATAAATAGTGTAAATAGTTACAATACCTCATCTCGGAAATATAGACAGTAGGTTTATTATCTTCATACCAGTCAAGGGTAAACTTGAAAAAAAAATATGTTTCATGCTATATGCAATCGTGGCCTGACGATTGCATATAGCATGAAACAGACTGTCGCCTCTAAGTGTTGACTTCTATGTTCACTTTTATATTTACACACGCTCTATCTCTGATATTGAGCACTTTATCCCATAAATATAGCACAATTTTAAGACTATATATATATATATATATATATATATATATATATATATATATATATTGCATGAGGTCAAAATTGGGGATAAGGAAAGCTGGTTTTCATCTGCTTTATAATTAAACTTAGCTAGCCACCATCACTGACCCAGTCAGTCAGTTATGTGCCATGCGTGATACACGCTTAGGCGATCATGTATCTTTCGATACATGACTGACGAGGCAGATTTTTTCCCGCAGTAGGTTGCCATTTCTTTCTGCGGTTGACCAGTTGGCATCCAAGGCTATAAAACCCGGTCCATCCTGCTATTTACCCATATCTGAGTGGGGGAAGAAGAGGAATCATACCTTTTCGAAGGGTATTAGCACGTAAGTGAATGTAATGAATTCGAGTGGAATTCGAGCTCGGCTCTCCGATTCCTCAATCTGTGACATGAGCCAAACATACGATAATAATCCTTAGACCAAAACAACAAACTCTGACTTACCATTCTTACTACAGGCACCATAATACCTCAGAGACTCTATGAAGTTCTGAATAGTCTCAATATGTGCAATGTGTCTGTGGGGTGGGGAATAAAATAACAATTTAAAAAATTCAAAACCACACTGAATTTTTACAATGAAAACAAGATCTATTTACACGAAACAAAACAAAATAATGTTAGTTATAGATTCCTCCATAATCTTTTAATGTGGTAGAAACATCAGTTAAACTAGACGAAATTAATGTGGGATTTTAAAAATTAATTCGTCCAAAGACACACTCATTCACACACGCATCCAAACACAACAAAAAACGAAAGACACATTCGAAAAATGAAAGGCGTCCCATATCCACCTTGACATCTCTGGTCACCTAATTTAAGTGGGGCTTGGAGAATGAAACTAAAGAAAGTGGAGGCAAAGATAAAAACGACCAATGAATACAACACCCCCAAATAAGTCAACTTTGACGGAAAAACTAAATGCAAAACATGCATGAACTACCCGATTTTTGGACAGGGTTGCCAATATTCCCTCTAAAAGCTTTATTTGACTGATTCAGTTTTAGCGCCGAAAAACGTTTATTTTATTGTGATGGATGGTTACAAGCGAGAGGAAATGTGGGATGGAATTATTTTATTATCACATATTATCACATATTATCACATATTATCACATATTATAAGTTGAAAATATGAATTAAATCAGACAGAATGATTAAATAAGAAGCAAATACCAAAATCTTTATAAATTTAACGTTTCGTTATTTATTTAACTTAATCAGAATTTAGATTTTTCGTGAACTTGATGCAACCAATCAGAGTGCAGCTTAGTGTGCATCTGTGGACAAAGACTCTCCTGTAGGGTTACTCAAATGCCAGTAAGGTGCCAAAGCGTGGGATTGTGTATAGTATAGCCGTAGCTTTCAGAATATTCAAGAGAGTAGATTCTTCACGCTTCATGTTTTTCTTCTTCTTTTTTGACCAAACCTAATGTTGTTTGCCAACAATCTAGATTTGGGTCTCTGAAGCCATTCTCTTAGTCGGTAAGAGCAACTGGTACATTTGATCGAGCTTTCCTTTTACCAGATCCGCACTGTCGACTCATTGTGTTGCAATGAAAAATAAACAGAATCTTAAGTTAAAAAGACTTAATACTTAATAATTAACAGTAGCTAACAATACGCTCCCGAATGAACAATACGCTCCCGAATGAACAATACGCCCCCGAATGAACAATATGCCCCCGAATGAACAATACGCCCCCGAATGAACAATACGCCCCCAAATAAACTATACGCCCCCGAATGAACAATACGCCCCCGAATTAACAATATGCCCCCAAATAAACTATACGCCCCCGAATGAACAATACGCTCCCGAATGAACAATACGTCCCCGAATGAACAATATGCCCCCAAATAAACTATACGCCCCCGAATGAACAATGCGCTCCCGAATGAACAATATGCCCCCAAATAAACTATACGCCCCGAATGAACAATACGCTCCTGAATGAACAATACGCCCCCGAATGAACAATACGCCCCCGAATGAACAATATGCCCCCGAATAAACTATACGCCCCCGAATGAACAATGAAATTGAAACTAAAAGAAAAGTAATATTAAATGAAAATTCAAAATAATAACGATTAACTTTTTTTCTTTTTTTTTTTCGCTTTACGGAGAAAAATTTAAATAATATTCTTTTTATTTATTTCTGAGATTAAAAACGTTTCATCTGGATATGAGGCAAAAGATTTTTAAATTTTGCTTTCATTTTTTTTTTCATTTTAATCTTTTTTCTTTAAAATATCTTTTCGGTTTCCTAGGGTGAAACTTTGAGTGAGGAGTCTTTCCAGGTACGTAGTTTGTAAAAAGTGAATGAAAAAAAAATGAATATATGAAAATGAAATGAATCAACCAAATAACACACTCCCGTCTGTCCCACCTGATATTTTGCTAAAACCCATTAGCATCGACCCGACCCAACCCTATGCTTGCCGTCTCTTCATCTTTCCAATTTCCTGGCACGTTTTTTGCATCTTCTTGTCAATTAATCGGCTAATAATCGTTTTCTGGAATTCTGACATGGACTATTTATGATTTATCATTTATTTTTCGGATGAGTGTCTTCAGCTTTGTTGTCTTTGGTGCCACCGTATATTCTTCGGCTTCCTTCAACAGGATGTTCCTTCCAGTGATCTTTAGAAATTTATTATTATTATTATTATTATTATTATTATTATTCCCTCTTCCCCATCCTCTTCCATCTTATTCTTCTTTATCATGTTTCCCTGTCCGTCTTTTTCATCTTTTTCTTCTCCCATGATCGTCCTCTTCCTTTCCGTCTTCTACTTCTCCTCTTCCTCCTACTTTCTCGTCATTTTTAACTTTTTCTTTCTCCATCTGTCTTCATCATCATCTTTTTTTTTTTCCCATGATCGTTTTCTTCCCCGCCTCCTCCTCCTTCTTTCTCTCTATCTTTCCCCGTCTGTCTTTCTCATCTTCTTTTTCTTCTCCGATGATCGTCTTCTTCCTATCCTCCTCCTTCATTTTCTGCTGTCTCGTCTTTAACTGCTTTTTTCTCTATCTCTCTTTTTTATCATATTTTTCTTTTCCCACCATCTTCTTCTTCTTCTTCTTCTTCTTCTTCTTCTTTCTGCTGCTGCTGCTACTTTCTCGCCATCTTTATCTTTTTCTTTCACTATCTACCTTTTTCATCATCTTTTTTCTACCATGATTTCCTTCTTTTTTCTTTTTCTACTTCTTCTTTTATTTCTTCTTCTTTTACTTCTTCTCTTGCTTCTTTCACCATCTCTATTTTCTTCTTTTTACTTCTTCTTCTTTTTCCTTTCTTTCTTTTTTTTTTATTTACAACATTTTACTCCCTCACAGCCACGGGTTTTAAGTTTTAGTAACCTTAATGCTCATTTTTTTCATTACTGAAACGGTGGGCATTAATGAATTATAGACGAAAACCTATAATTAATTGTCGGTTTTTATAAACCTATAATTTATACAGGATTTTTATTTTAATAATTAATATCGGATATTATGGTGGCCATTAATGAGTTTATACGAGAAATGACGAGATGTGAAGAGTTGCGTCTTCTATAAAGATTTACTCTTCTATAAGGATTAACAAAGTTGAAGACAACATTCAGAAAATTATATGAAATTACTTAATTCAAGTTTGGTGTTGCAGCTATTGGTTAATTCAAGTTTGGTGTTGCAGCTATTAAAATCACACTTTTCATTTTTGTGACTCTCTTTTGTGTCATCCGGAAACAAACTCCATTTTATTCCTTAATATTCGTCTTTCTCTTCATTATACGCCTACATCTTTTCATCGTTT